AGTACAGCTCTGCCCCCAAATCTTTTAAATTGTTGCAAGTTTTACCCTAACCTTTCATTTATTGTACTTGTGATTTCAAACCTTTTAAGTACATGCATTTGAAGTCCAAATGGATGAAAATCATCCAATCTACATCAATTGACCAAGAAAATTAGTTTGACCATATTTTTAATAATTTTAAGAAGGGTAAAATAGTAATTTCATATAAAATCACTAGCCTCTTAAAAGAGAGGATAGCCAAATCACTATTCCATTTTGCACCCTCCTTTCCACACTTCAACTAGCTGTGTACTATTCATAAATGGATTCAATACAACCGATAAATATCCTTCTACTTTCATTGAATAGGGAAATATATGGAAATAACCTTTTCAAAATGGTTACTTTTCCAAAATGACCCTTAGACAATTTACATGCCAAAAATGCCCTTCATTTGGATATTACATAACAAGACATCATAATATAGAAATTTTCTATTTTAGTCCTCAAAATTAAATATTGATTAAAATTTGATAATTTTTATTTGATTTATTTGATTAATATTTTTATTTGATTTTTGTTCGCTCTAAGTAGCCCCCCTATATTGGTATATCAGAGCCATAAAGATCATGGAAATAAAAATAAGAAAAATAGATAATTATTGGTGTTTAGAAGAAGAAAAATGTAGTTATATATTTTTAAAACCTATTCATAATAGATTAAAAATAATGACTTTGACAATAATTAAAGAACTCCCTAAAGAAATAAAGGAACAAATATTAGAGAAATTAATAATAATAAAATAAAAGATATATATACATATGAGAAAATTATTAATATATATGAAGATGAAGAAAATAATTTATATTATAAAGAAAAATATGAGTACAATTGATTATACACATCAAAAATTGAATAAATTACTTTTAAAAATGGATAAAATACAAGAAGAAATAAGAAATATGATATTAGTACCAGAAGAAATGAGAATACAAAATCATAGACAATTAACAAAATTAAAATATGAAAGATTAAGACTTGAGAGTAAATACTTTACTATAGTAAAAGAAGAATTAGTAGATCCGAATATAGCTAAAAGAAGATTTGGAAAAATAATGGATAAAAAGGAAGATAAAAAATGCAAATTAACCTATGTGTTAGAAATAAGGAAAAATTAAAATGTCGATAACTTAATATATGGAAGAATTAAAATCATTAATAAAAATGTTAATAAATGATGTACAAAATTTAAGAAATGAAGTAAAAGAAACAAGAAACGATATAAATATATTAAAAATTGAAATCAGAGAATTAAAAGAAAGTAATAAAAATAAAGATAAGAAAATAGATTAAAAAAAACTCATAGAAAAAGAAATGACTCGAATAGGAAAGAAATATATAGAAAAAGAAAATATAGTAGTAAAAACAGGAAGGATGGATAATGAATTTAGAAAAAATATATTGCCAAAGATATTAGAAGAAGAAGAAAAATCTAGAGAAAAATCATTAGGAAAATTAAAAATAGAAGAAAAAGAAGATAAAAATAAATGAAGAGTTAGATTTATTAATAGAAAATTTTGATCAATTAAGTTTAACTGATATAAGTGAATACCAAGTTTTAATGAATAATGGATGAGGATCTAATCCAGCAGGAACCTATAAACAAAAATTACATGATACAGATGAAAGCTATGCACCTAGATATAATAAATCATATAGACAATTCTCTGATAAAGTAAGAGATATACAACCACCTAAAGGAAATAAATATAAAGATAGATTTGAATTAAATGATAATTATGATAAACCAATTAATCATGGAGGAACAAAACTAGATTTAAATTGCAAAATAGATACTAAAAAAATCTTATTAATTTGGGCAGATTCAATGATATTATTCTTTTTATATAATAAAGATGACACATTGGAAAGTACTGAAAGAAGAATAGATTTTTTAATAGCATCCTTTGAAAGAGATGTTAGAAATTGGTGGGAATGCATAAGCAATGATACAAAAACATTAATAAAAAGAAATGTACAGACATAAATAATAAAATCAAATAGACAAAGTATAGAAAAATTAGTAGAATATGTTTCAGATGAATTTTTAGGAGAAAATTGAATAAGAAATGCTGAAAAAGAATCAATAAGAGAAAAAGATAATGCTAGAATAAAATTAATAAAGTTAACAATATGTGATATGTGTAAAATTAAATAATATACTTTTGAATTTAAAAATTACTATTATGTTCAATTTTATAGTAATGAAAATCAAGAAGAATACCAAGACATGTATTATAATAAGTTATCAGGTTCATGAAAAATATATTTTAAAATAGAATTTGAAAAATATGTTAGAGATAATACTGGAATACCTAGAACTTTAGGTTCAAGAATAAAATTTTTATTTGAAAAACTTACATATATATGTTAACAAAGACAATTAATGAAAAAATTAGGAAAATTAACTAAAATATGTTGTGAAGATATGAAAACTCCTGTGCAATGGGGATGTAATCCTGAAAAAAGAATTAATAAAAGAAAGTTTAAAAAATTTAGAAATTTTAAATTTTAAAATATATATATATATAAACATAGGAGAATGTATTACAAAAGAAAAAATAACTCATATAATCAACAGAAGAATAAAAAGAAAAATAAAAGTCAATGTAAATGTTGGAATTGTGGAGAAATAAGTCAAATAAGTTTTGATTGTGAGAAAAAGAAAGTTAGAATATTACAAAAAGAATATTTAGAAATAAAAGATGAATTAAGTGAAATATTAAATATTGAAGAATACTATGATCAAAAAGTATACATAAGTTAAATAGAAGATGATGAATCAGGATCTAAATAAAGAAATTGAAGAAATAGAAATTAATAATATAAATATACAAGAATATGAAGTAATAGAATGATATGAATTAAAAGTCACTTTTGATAATAATAAATTTAGAAAACTTCAAAAATTATCTTTAGATTTAAAAATAGGAAAATAAGAAGTTTTTGATAGAATCTAGAAAAGAGAAAGAATAACAATAAATAAATATCACAAAATAGAAAAAATCATAAATGTAAGAATAACTTATGGACAACATAAATTAAATTTTTTTAACAAAAAATACAGTTGATGAATTATTAACAAAGATTAGCAAAAAATAGAGTGAAAAAATCCAATATGTTTATTTAGTAGGAATACAAATAATGTTTAAATCACTATTTAGAGAAGGGATAGACTCACCCTTAACTATAACTTTACATGATAGAAGAATAATAAATTTAAAAGATAGTCATTTAGGAACAATAGAAAGAAATTTGGCGTATCAAAAAATTATGTTTACATGTTATCCAAAATATTGTGTATCATTGAAAGATAGAAATTTTAATGAAATTTTAGGACTACATTTCAAGTTTCATAGAGATGATATTATGCAACCAGATGATCAAATTATGACTATAGAATATAGAGCTTTATAAGCATTTATCAGTTCTAATTATGGGAATATTTATTCCAATAAACTATATATTGAAGTTCATAAAGAATGTAAAGATATAAGTAAAATAATAGAACCAAATAAACAAATAAGTTTAATTCCAGAAGAATATGAATTTAGTATAACAAAAATAAACCTGAAATAATAGAATTAAATGAAGGAGAATGTTCAATAACATAACATTTAAGAATGAAAAATTAATTAAAAGATAAAAAAAGTTTTAAAATACCTAATAAAAACCAGTTAGAAAAAATCAACAAAATAAAAGAAATAAAATTATATAGAAATGCTAGAAATATGAAAATAGAAGGGGTATATTATAATGGAAGAGAACATATAAATGATCCAAATATATTGATAGATACATGAGCTAGTGAATATCATATAGTTTCAATTAGAAATAAAGGATTTGTAACTCATAAAACTGAGTCATATAAGTATATAAATTTTGATGGACAGAAACATATTATAGATTTGGAAGTTAATGTACCAATAAATATAGGAGGAATAGATCTTTTAATACCATGTTACATAGATAGAAGTATGAATATAAACCCTCATATACTTTTAGGAATTAGTTTTCTAAATGGATTAGAAGATTATAATATAAAAAGAGAATGACTATATATTGTTCATAATGGACAAACTATATTATATAAAAAGAATTAGATGAATAATCAAATAAGTTTTTCATTAGCTGTATATATACAAATTACTATTGTATAGACAAATATAA